ACAGTGCTCTCGTCGTGGAGTTGTTGGAGGTAGATTTCGATAGAGGAGTACAGGAGTGTTATGGGTTGCCCAAGCGTGATATTTGAATGTAAAAAGTGGACTAGGTTTCAGGTCGTTCAAGAACTACACCAGCGATTAGACATACGGAGATTTTCTCGATTTATTTTATACACTGTATCCGTTACTTCTTTAAATATATTACGTGCGACGTATTTATAATAATTAGTCGAACAACCAAGCGTTTTGGAGCAGGTCGACCAACTCGGTAAACGCAGATAATCTCGAATTTTCGTTCCGGTATTTTCTTCCCGGGATGAGTAATACTGTCTCTCGGTACCTCGTGGATCGAGGTGCTCCAAAATCGATGGCCGGTCGATTCGCCAACGCGTTCTTCCTCGCACGATTCCAACGAAAGACGCGCGAGCGCGGTTGATTTTTGAGCGAATAATAATGCAATTCCGCAGCGACGTGTCGCTTCACAAATTCGCGTGTACCTACGAACGGTGCTGGCCGAACGAAACGAAGCGAAAGAGAGAAAGTAGGTAAATAGACGAAGAGTCGAAAGGGTTTCGAAGAAAAACGCAACTGCGCTTGACAGACAGTGTCGATGTTCGAAGAACGAATAGCGTCGAGAACGATTTCGAATCGATATAAGAGAGACGGTCGCTCTTATCGTCCGACTCTATTACCTTAGAGGAACCTTCGCTGAAAACGTGACATGGCAGTGCTCTACCTTCGGAGACGATTTCGAAACGCCGTCCCTCAGCTGGTTCGTCCTCGACGCGAAAGATAGAGAGAAGAATTAACGTATATCTTTGGCACAATAAATACGAATACATGATATAATCGTCTATGATCGGTGTTCAGTGGGGGGAGTTCGGAAAACGTTTACTATCAGTTTTGTTGACCCTTTGCAGACCAAGAAAAAGAAAAATTCCTTGAAACGTATCGAGACGGCTCCCCCTAGCTAGACACCGAAACTCAAAACGCTCGATAACCTTACCGATCACAACGTATGAGATCCTTCGTGTGCCCCTTACGCGGTCACTCGTAAAAAAAAAAAAAAAGAAAAAAGAAATTACAGCTAACGATATTACGCTTAGCACCTAACGGGGTTATCGTTTCGGGAATCATTACTAAATCAATTATCACTAAATTGTTGGTCGGTACTCGGAATCGATACATTTGACGGAAAAGAACAGCTCGGTATCGTCGAATACGCGTCGTTTGGTAATTGAGAGATGGGCGACGAAAATAAAGTTGCAACGCTTTGTCGGTATACGTTACCGTGAACACCTAGGCCTTAATCTTAAACGCACGAATGATTCTCGATATATCGACGACCCGTCGATCGGTGGGTCGCCGTCGACGATCGATACTCGGCGCCTCGATCCACGCGATCGAACGTCCGCGCTCGATCGTCGGTGACATTGAAAAAATTCCTAACTAACTTACCGTCCGCTTCGCGCAGAATCCTAGCTTGCCTGCTGTCGGTCACGCGTACACGTCGTTTCGAGACTAATCAAACACGGGCAAAAGTCCCAGTCAGACTTGGGCGTTAGCCAACTAATTCTTAACTGATTAGCGTTAGTCGATTACAGAAATGAATCAATGATTAATTCAACCATGAATCGTTACTATGATTAAAATTTGCTCGATATAGAGTCCACCTTCCTCTGGTAGGAACACCTGTTTCTCCAAGGGGAGTAAAACTGCTAAAACATCGTGGAACGAACCGAATAATGCTCGAATAGAAACGGATAGGGTCTCGCTAATCCGATTTGGAAACGTCTTGACCAGCTCGATACGCTGCGGGTACGCTCGGATTTAGTCGCGGGTTGCTCGAACGTCGAGAGAATTTCGATGTCTTTGTTTTCTTTTGATTGAATATTGTTCCACGTTACGATATACAAATGTCTCGTAGTAACCAGCTATTAGAAAGCACGGATATACAGGACGCTAACAGATACTGGAGACACTTTCATGGAACTAGAGATGATCCAACTAAACCAGAGATTCAACTAAACAATAAATGGTTCGGTCCATGGATCCATATAGAAATACCTGATACGCAAATCTCTTGTAAAATTTCCTCGGTGAACTTTACAGGGATCTTTCTCCTTAAGTTTTCTTGAACTACCTAACGAAGGACTTGATCAATTGCGACGTGATTCTGCTTTGCAGGAGAAAGAAAGAGTGTCCTAAAAGAGTGTCCCCAATATCGATTAACTCCTCTAATCGTCGTTTGATTTGCGCTACGTGGCCGTCTGCGGCTACGATTTTACCCTAGTCTCAGCTACTCTTCTTCCGTACAAAGATACGCTCGTCCTTCCGATACAAAAGTTTCGTATATCTACTCGAGTGTCATGGTTGGTCGTAGTCTAACGTTTACGTCGAATAGTTGCAGCACGAGATCACCTGACGCGCGTGATCAGGGCCGAATTAAGGTAACGACCTCAAAGAGTGCAGTCCTGAGGTCTTCATAAAAAGCACCATGATTCATGCTGTTAATCTACATTCATTTAGTACGGAATAAATGCTCAGTGTCTAAACACACGAATCATGGTATTCACTTTTACAAGAAGATTCGATGTAGCGATAATAGATTGGTGAGATAAGAGGAGGTACCTAGTCAGTACTCTCGAGTTCTCTGTAGATAAGACTCGATAACATAGAAACCAAATTTGCTCGCGTGATTTACCGACAGAGTGTTCTGTATTCCCATCGAAGCGATTTTCCTTACCAATCCAGTACTCTACGTTATCGAAGTTTGTCTACAGAGCACTCTGCATTACCTACACCTTCCTTTAAATTTTTAATTTGGCGCCGCTCGTGGTAGGGGAGCATAAAAGTCTCGAGATTGGCGATCGCGTCAGGTGCCCTCGATTCTTCGAGCCAGTTGGTGGAAAACGTGGTCACGGGCGATCGTGGTCTCAGGATCCAACCAGAGACCGCGATTCGGGATCGTTTCCGACTCCCTCTCGTCGTGCAATCGGAAAAATGTGGCCGTGTCCGTTTGTTTCTCCCCGTGGTCGATGAGTTCCTTCGGAGGAATTATATCGTCTGGCGCTAAGCAGGGACGTGGTTCTGCACCGTCGACGACGACGTCTGCAGCGGCGAACGGGTCTGATGGAACCTCAGCAGCTCCGAGACCGTCACAGCCACGCGAACCACTCCTCGGCCACCCTCTAACACGTCGCTGGCGCAGCATACTAGGTTCTGAAAACGACAAGCATAAAATTCCACAATACTCGGTAACAACGAAATTGCAAGGTCGGGGACAGCCAGTCGCGACTCGATTCGTCCAGGGCAAATTTTACCAAAAGAATATTTTATTATCAGTGGAAATAGCGTTACAATCGTTATGTGTTAGTCGTACAATCGGTGTTACAGAGTACGTTTCTCGAATGCAAAACCGTGTACAGCGCTGTAGCGCGAGCATACGAGAAAAAAATGTATCGAACGGTTGTTCTCCGGGTCCAATCGGAGCAACTGAACACAGGAACGCAGGACGAGTGTATCGGTTAAAATCGGAAGCCACTGTCGATCGATTTACATCAGTACACGAGGTCTGTCTAAGGTACTCCGTAGGCTCGGTAGTGCAGAACACTTCGATAAGAATAATCTGCCGATAATGCAAAACGCTGTGTCGATACCTGCGACCAATTGGGATTCTGCATTGCCGATTCCTACCTACAGGGTACTTACTCTACGTCGCTAACTTCTACATAGAGAATATTCCACTTTACCAACAAGAATCTAACTAACATTTCGAATTCCGGAAACTTCTATATTCGTAAACGATTTCGAATAAGAGATTGCGTACTGTTGTGACTGTATTATTTTTTCTTCTCGGCGGTCGACTGATTTAATCCGATCTCATTCCGATAGCGTAACCGTGTTCTCATCGTGCTGCGTTGCGATATAAATTAAGCGCGAGCATAACGTACGGATTCACCGTGACTGCGACGAGGATTCATAGTTAATGTTACGAAGCTACAATTTCTTCGTGTTACGGGCATAAATAAGAGTAGGAGGGGAGGGCAATATAAATATAACACTGATCTCGATTGAAGGAGTGGTACGTCCTGGTCGCATCAAAACCTGTGAATTCGTTCGACGAACGATAGTGTGCGAATTCGATCGTACAAAAATGGAAAGGTAAGATACAAAACGATCGTGTTCCGCCCATAGATCCCAGAATCAAACGCGACGCGGCAAATAAACTTATTCGTCTGGGCGCTACGGGTAGACACGATCGATCGGAGGAACGTGAATTATAATAAATAGTAGAGGAGGAGGCTTCGCCTTTTCGATAGTTCGTAGAAAAATGCTTAAGCTTAGAAAACAACAAGGTATTAAAAAAAGAAAACGAAGCACCGATTTCTCCAGAGCGATCAATCTAAAGCTCGTAGTCAGCTTACGTACAATTTACGAAACAAATAAAAATAAAACGACCAAAGAGAATAGTAGCTTCAACGTACCATATATCTGTGTTCATACAATATAGTATGATATAATATAATAATAATAATAATAATAATAATATATAATATATAATCTATATATATGTATATATACGCTCTTTCTCCTTCTCTCTGTTCTTTACAAAAATTATACAATTATACAAGCTAATGCAACGGAATGATTTCGTGTTCGATCTCCTTATCACGCGTCCGTTCTACGTTATCGCTATAGTTGCGAGTAGAATAAACGACGCAGCCTCTCTTGCGGAAGCGTGAAGAAAAAATTAATCGTACGAAAGGAAAAAGAGAACAAGCGCTGCGGCAGACCGCCAAAGGCAATAGTTAGACCACAAATAAAATTATACTGAAACACAGTCTTACGGTTGCGATTAATTCGATACGCTGATCGGAGCCACGTTCGACCGTGATCCAACTAATACTGATGCATCGTGAACACTTCGATACCGGTATCCGGAAGTTGGAATTTTGCCCATCTTCGACGAACAATTACCAACTCGGACAGCGAGCCTACGATCGAACTTTTGGCCATCAGCCCTGAAAACAATGGTCCTCGATCGGACCACAGCAGTAACGCAACCAGTGGGCTAGGGGGTGTCCTGAATGTCTATTTTGTGAATTTACAAAATATTCAAAATAATGGCAGAGGAGCAACACGAATGTGTAATTATTTTTCTGGAATAGCAGATGGTTAACTATTTTCATTCAGCGATAGAGATGCAAAAGAACTCTGCTCAGGCCCTGTTTGAAAATTCTGGTTGCGCCACCGGACGGAAGAGTAGTGGACGAAAGGAACAAAAGTACTAAAAGATATTAAGTAACGAGTCACGAAGGGTTCCTCTCACCGAAACGGGTGACTTAAGCGAAAACAATGATTACAGAAAACTAAAGAAACCGCTGTTGACTAGAACCGAGGATTGAACTTAAGATTAAGTGTAACACCGAGGACTAGAAATCGATAAACATTCAAATGAATGCAAATACAGCGAAACGGAACTCGTCTCGGGCGGAGAGCGACGCGGAGTTTCTGGAAGATATAATTCGGCCGCGTTCCCTTAAACAACCGTACGTTTTGGCGTTATTAAGTGTAAGTACGTTTACGATGAACACGGGGCACGGCAACTTCCAAGTGTATACGTTTAAAAAAGGGGGGTAGAGAATTCAACGTTGGCTCTCAAAAGTTTCTATCCATCTAACCGTAGACCGTAAAGTAGAAGCCGTTCGTTTCCCATGAAAATTCCTTTGTGCATTCTCGATCGATTCTGGGTGGAAAGTATAGCGAGTGATCGATTATGTTAATGTCGCGTGTTGCTTGTAATAATTGCAGTTAAACGTCGTTGTATCCGATTCGGTTATTCCAATCAATCTATTCATAAATTTCTGTTTGTTAACTTTGTGTTGGTTTGGAAAAATCTGAGCCCGGATGTTGCTACGTATTTGTTCTATACTATACTGTTTGCTATACTGTTCCACCCTCATAGTTTCGTTCGATGTAGCAGCGACGCGGAGCTCGAGGGAGAAACGGAGTCGCTACGACAGAGACGGGCGAGCTTTTATAAAACTCTCCAATCATAATTTATTCAACCAAAGAATGAAATCTTTATGTATTCAAAACACTTCATTCTGCATTTCAAATCCTAAGTTTCGTTCAAAAAGAGACGAATGGACAGTTACTGACCATTTATTCGTTACTCGAATTATTTATCCAGATAAGTGTCATCCCCGTCTCTGGTTATTCGTCGCGTTTGGCACTGGACTACTGCGAAAAGCACAGAGTGGTCCGCCGCTCACTAAAACCGCATCTTTCATCGACGAAGTTTCGAATGGAATGGCCATCCCTGTATACGAAATTCGACGCAAAATTCGGAAGTAAATTGGCTTTTGTTTCGTGCAATTCGAGGACCCGTTTCTCCTGAAACTCTTACCGTTAGACAATAATCTCTTACCGTACGAATATATTAAGAATAAGTTATACGCGCGTTATATATATATATACTAAATGATACACGTTCTTTGTTGTACGCCCGCTACGTTTCGTTTCTCCCGATTCAGTTTGCGATCATACGAAAATATGTAGAATTATCTTAGGCTACGACCGAGACAGCTCGGTCGGTGAATTGTGTGTGTTTGTATGAGTGGTGTGTCGATTACACGCGGTCCCCACCAGCGTTGGGCAAAATGGAAAGTAACTCGAAAGACTTTTTTACTTAAATAATTGTTCGATCTAGATAATGCCCAGCTCTCTGTTACCGAGGGAACAGCGATGATTTTTCTGATTGATTCAATAAGTTTCGAGCGATAATCGAAAAGGAGACAGCAAAGCAACGAGAAAGGAACCGCTGCCCAACTCTGGCTCTTTCCATTAAAACGAAAGCTCTTCTTGTCCCGGACGTGGCGCAAACGAAAACCGAGAATTTGATAGCGAAGAAGAAATGAACGGTGAAATCGCGGTTCGTTCGATAGAAGTTCGAAAAATGTGCGTTAAGACCTACGTACCAAAATAGGAAATCTTTGAAACCGAAAGAGATTTCTAGCACCTTGTTTGCGAATCCTGTAGTACACGAAGGCTACCTATCACAGACCCATCAATCCTGAAAGAGCCGTAGGCGATTTCATTGGTCGAACGTTTAAAAAAATACTACCATCCGAGGCTATACACGAACGTTTCTTTCTTCCCATTTCTCTGTTTCAACACCGCCAATCGGCGACGGGCACGATTTTTATTCGAACAGCGGACGACGAATAAAATTTGTATACGATTGAACGTGAATTTTTATATATCGCGCGAAACATCATTTCCATCCACGGTACCAATCTTCATTCATCGACGAATGGAAAATTGTTCGTCTTTTATTTTCGTTATTCGGGAATTTTTATCCAGACGAAAATTGTGCCAGACTCTGGCCACCGTCGCGATTGCGGGTTATACTACGCGATACCAGCCGTGAGAATCGATTCGTTTCTTCCTTTAAATTGGTGTATCGGGACCGAGAGAGATTCGTCGGCAACGAAATTATTGTATCTAGACTTGGGCGAGAGAAAAATTACGCGAGAAGAAACACCTTGGGCCGACGTCGAGTCGATTAGATCGTCGATCAAGGTATGTTTTCGCGAGACGATCGAGTTTGATATGCGAGAAGCGTTCCAGCAGCTTTGATTGCGCTCTTTGATTTCACGTTCTCATTCGTCGAAGGCTATACCTAGCGATAGGATTAATACCATTTATGATATTCGAACAGTTCGATACCAAAGTATTGGAAACGTTAAACAGTGTCGAAGCGTAGAGAACATAGAATCAGGGTCCATGAATTAACACGTTCACGCCGGCGCTGCTATATGCATTCTCGCCCATGGGGGCGGCGCGGTGGTGCACGCCATCCGATACACGTGCAGACATGACCCACCGGTGGTACACGCCGGCGCGAACGTGTTAATTTCCATTTTTGAGCCCCCATTTAGCGTCTCCGGATTATTCTTAATAACTTGGAAATTGTTCGAGTAAATTACATGGAAAAAATCATGTAATACCTCCACGAGAGTATCGATTATCACATACAGTTTTAGGTATATAGGTATCAAAACGATTTTATATAAAATGATATGGTAGTATCTGGTATCCATCCCATCTCTAGCGGCGCCAAAAAAAGCCGTACCGAAAACTTAACTAACCTAATGCGCTACTTAGCGATTCCTACAACTAGGCGGACTAAATGCACGATCAAGCTGCCCAAGTTGATACACTTAACGACTAATGAATACTTATTCGCCGAGGCGCTGGAATACAAACGACGGAGATGAAGAAACGAACCTTGTTAAAGCTAGCGCCGCGATTCCGTCGACTAACGAGGAATGTCGCCTATCTACGGTCTCCAATTTTAATAAATTTAAACACACGGATCGAAAGCTGAAAAATATCACACTGGAATTTCCTCTGTTGGCAAACGGTGCCGCGCGAGAGATAAAAATTAATCACGTCATCATCGAACGCATAAAAGCAAATGGAAAGACACATGTTTTCATTACGACTTTGATTTTGCATGTTTATGGACATTCTGCGTGGAAGCACGGGCTTGGCAGTGTTTGCTTACTGTAAACAAATGATAGATACATTCATCATTGTTCTCGCGTTTTTTTTATATTTTATTTACGTCTCGTTAATATTAGTTTGATTACCTACTTTATATGCTATTGTCTTTTGCTTAGACATAATGCAGTCTTGTCGATAACATTACGCATCCGATCGGGACCTGATTATTGGCCAGAAGTATACGTGACCCTGCTTTTATCTCCTGACATTAATACAGTGTAATATTTTGAACGATCTGCACGCGGTGTCGAGTGTTAAAAAAATTGGAGATTAACAATTAGGCGACCGCTCCTCGCGAGCCAAATGTTGGGAGAGCTAACGGTATATCGAGGTGTCAAAGTGCCACGACTCGATCAAAAAAAAAGAAGAAAAACAAAGGGAAGCTGGCGTTCCCAGTGGCATTGCAAAATTGCTTCAAGCTTGCTTTGCCCCAAAACATAAACAATCGTCGAAGACTGTCAGAGAGTACGCAAAAGTATCGTGGCGCTCTAGAGGTACCGAATGATTTCATCGAGATCCGCGATGAAGGATCGACAGGAAAAATCCGTCGACCGCTCATCGGAGGATCGAGAACGCGTACTCTGCGAGCCGTCGCGTCGAGTGGCGTCTCGATAGGTCGGAATAATCTTCGATGGTGGTTTTCTCTTGCGAGCGTCGTTCGTTCCGTCGTTTAGCGCTCTGGCGTTCTCGTCTTCGTCGCTCTTTCTTTAGTCGGGGATAGGGAACAGATAGAGGAGAACAAAGGTGGACAGGAATGCCGTGAGAAGCATGACGGACAGAACGCGATCCTGAATCGTACGGGATGAACCTGAGGCCGATTCTTCGGTATCGTTCTCTCCTTCGTCGCGGAGAAGGAGAAGAGCGGAGACGAGACGCGCCAGAGCCTCCAGCCCGTACGCGTCCATGTAACCCACGTCCATGATTGCGTCCGCGTCCATTAACACCTCCTGCAACACCAACAACGATACTACTCAGTCCCAGTCTCTACCACGTCGCTGGTCGATTGTGTTTTTCTCATACAAAGCCCTGTCACTTCTCTTTTTCTACTTGATACGCAACGAGCAATCCTCGTTTCGATCGTACCGCTATCATCGAAGAAACACCTTCCGCGTGATCAACGATCCGATTCAAAAGGTTCGCTCTTGAGAGGAATATCGAACGAAGATCCGAGGTGCTTCGTCGAGAGAGCAATTGTCTCCAGAGTTAGGTATCCATGGGTTCCAGAACTGTTTCGATCTCCGATGAACAGACCCAACTCTGGTTCCTAGTTTGAATGGTCTAAACGAAGAGAAGCTTGCTCGAATAGAGGAGGATCGCAAAAATGGAACACAGCCGATCGAGGAGACGGTTAATGCTGCGAGGATCGTTGGATCGAAGGCGAGCAGGACGTAGCGATGGGAGGCGACACAAAAGCGAAAATACGAATCTAGGCGCATGCAACTAAAGCTTCTCTGCTCCTCTCTTTCCTCGAAATCACGGTTTGCGATTCGATGGACAGATATGCTTGGAAAGGGACGGGCATCGTTACAACCTCGCGACTGAATCGAAATCGGGGACTGACTAGTAGTTGCTGGAAATGTCATGGACAAACGTACCGACGGCTGTCGGAGCTGTTAATTACGACGTTGCCCACGAATGGTTTATATTATTATCAATGTTCGTTAGATGTGTATTTTTTTTTTTTTTTTTTTTTCAAGGCGTCTCGAATCGGTATCGAGCGACGCCTGCGACATGGAGTCTCGTGCCCTTTTAACGAGTACGCGCGGACGCAGAGCCAGAGGTAGGCAAAGTTTGAAAATACGACGAATAAAGCCAACGCATGGCGATTTATTCGCCCGAACAGTTCGATTATTTATTTAATGCCGCGGTGTTTACGAGCGAGAGACAAAGCACAGAGACTCTCGAAAGAAAGAACGGGTGACAGAAGTACGGGGATCGCTTACCTCGTCGACGCCGATCTTCCGGCACGCCTCGAGGAAGTTGTCGACGTTACGCCTGCATCTCGCCATTGTCAGCTTTGGCTGCGAAAAGAAGAAGGTCGAATGTATCTCAAAGGTCCACGTTCGCGTATTCGAATCTAAGTAAACTGTTCCGAAAGGCTTACCACGGCTGGGGAAGGAACGTGGATGCTGGCAACCGATCTGGGTCTCACATGGTTCGCCAGATGACAGAGGACGACTCCGTCCGTCAACGCTGGGGCGAGGTCCTCCGGCAAAGCCATCTTCAGCCTCGTTTCTATGTGCTGAAAAGAGGAAACTGTAACGTTAGCCAACTCGATTCGTTCGTTCCTCTTCGCGTGTTAACCCAGATATGATTATCTCCTTCTTAGAAGAACAGTATCTACAGAGTTACTAATCTTCTCGGGCGATATCTGGGATGAAGAGAAATACCCACGGTTCGTAGCTGCTCGATCAAGTCAGCCTCTTCCTTGGCACGCTCGAACTCCCTTCTCATAGTGAAGGAGTACTTCTCTGGCACGTTGCTGTTCCAAGTGACCGAACGGGGCGACTTTGGGCTGCCGCCGTTTCTGCTGGGACTCTTGTTACCTAACAGACATTGCCACCATTGCGTTTAACCGGAGAGGACTCAACAGGACACGTTCCCATCGTTCAAGGTTCTTAAATTACCTTCCACGTAACCTACAGCGGTTTTGACTAGTCTAGGAGTGTGTCCGGGACTGGATCCCGAGGATAAGATGCTCGACGAGGTTTTGATCGGTGAATTAGGTTTCTTGTACGGCTGCTCGAGGTACTTCCCGTTCTTGTTGTTGTACTCGTTGTTGCTGCCGTTGATGATCGGCGTGTTCTGGTAGTTGATGCGCGACGGCGTCACCTTCTGCACTGGTCTCTTCGTCGCGTTCTCCTCGTTGAAGATTTGTTTCCCAGTCAGAGCTAGGGCTTCCTTGTTGCTGGTAGAGTCAGTCTCGTTGCTCTGCGATTCGTTGCCTGGCGGGGTAACCTGTTCTCGTGGCCTGTACACGCTTGGGCCCTCGTTGACTCTCTGTTGCCTCAGTGCCTCCTTGTACTCTCTGAAAATCAGGGTATCTCAAGTAGTCGTTGCTCTATCTCGAACATTCACTAGGATATCCGCATCCATCCACAACGCGCAAACACCTGCGCCATTAAATAGCGAATATGATAAACTGTGTACCTGTACGTTTGGATATGATTGAGAGGCCTCTTCTCGTCGCCGTTCGCCAAAGAGATAGAGTTCGCTGGGTTGAGCAAGGGCTGGACCGGCTGGGTGTTGGTCGGCACCGACTGCGTTTGATTCAAGTGACTGGTTTCGAGAGGGCTGAAAAAAGAAACGAACGCTTCGTGGTTAGCGACACGAGCCGCGTTCGCGAATCGATAGAGACCCGCTGACGCGTTGGGATCGCGTCACGCTAATGCGTAGCGGTTTCTCATCGCTTTATTAACGGTTCGCTTACCCGGGTGGAGTAATTGACGCGTGGTAGAGGCCAGAGGTCATCGGTCGTCTGACATCGGCGCCGTTCTCCGAGGTGCTCCTCTCCAGCCTCCTCTTTTCCAACTGATCGTGCAGTATCATGGCCTGCGAACAGCGTCCATTAGAGGAAGAGATTCGAGGGTGAAAGTACCGGTTAACCCTTACGCCAGTCGAGATGACTCGTTCGCCTCGGAGCGTTCGTTAAATTGTTTATCAACTTGTTTACGAGTGCCTCAAGGCTGTCCAAAACCCTAGCTGCCTGTGTCAACTCTTTTTTTAAAAATTTAAGGCTTCACTGTTTCGATTTCCCTAACATGCCTCTGGTACTCCGAGTATGTCCGGCGCGCGTCTCTCCGGTATTGACACGAGGGTTAATCGCGACGGATGTCGGCACCGAGTTCTTTCAATGGGTTAAGGTCATTCAACGAGGCTTGAACGACGGCCAAGCGCCTCGACAACACAGATATCGTTTTCAAGGGGCGCGCGAGTTCTATTCAATCGCTAAATATAGACGTTGTATCATACGCTTCGGGCGGGACTCGCGACCGTAATGCCTCATGTCCACTTGAGCGTTTTACACTTGGTAGTCCAAGCGAGCGAGCGGTAGAGCTTTCGTGCTGGAGGTTATACTTGGTCGCTCTTAAGGTTAACGTTCATGGACGCGCGAAAGAACCTTTACCTTCTACACACTCCATCGATAAGACTCTGCCGGCAATGCAGGACGATCTGTTGATAAATTCTTTGATCCAGAGCCCTACGTTACCGAGTTTTATCGACAGAATGCGCTGCACTACCGACACAGTCTCGGGAGACGTACCTTGCCGAGCTCATCCTCGAGGGACGTGTGCTCGCCTGGGGAAATGGTGCTGGGAGTCGACGTTCCGCTGCAGGATCCGTTCACAGTCGTCTCGTGGGGCAAAGTTATCGAGAGCGGCGAACACTCTTGCCGCCACAGTCCTCGAATCTCGCCGTCGTGCACCTGCAGAAAGGTGTCCAGTAGGAGGTACAGTGAATCGTTGTCGAGTGTCGCGTTGTTATGAAATTGAAATTTGTGAATTTTTACAACTGTCTTATAAGTACTTTATTAACGTACAAAATTTATAGATATTTACAATTTTTCTACAAATTTCACTCTTCGATTGCCAATTTTAATTGTCGCAAGCAACTGCTTTCCGCTATTGGGACATTTGATTGCGAATTGCAACGATTATCTACGAGAAGAGCCTGCTACGGAGGTCATTTAAGAAGCGAAGAGAAAAGAAGAGGGCTAGAAGAAGGACGAATAAACTAACCGCGCTGTGGATTTCTTGCGACCAGCGTTTGTCGACGCCGTCGCTGGTGCTGTACCCGCTGTCGACGTTGTGCCGTCTGTGGGCCCTCGTGTCCAAAGTCGCGTGACCTCTGACGTCCAAGGGTGTTCTCCTGACGCGGCCTCCCCTGGCCCTCTCGTGCTTCGCCGCCTGTCTCTCCAAATATTTGAAGATGTGCGTTCGCCCGCGAATGCATAGCTGGGGGCAGTTTGAAATTCGAGACAATTGATAAACCCCGCCCTTAGGCTCGCTTTACTCGATCGATCAGCTCCGCAGGCCTCCATAAAGGCCCACGGAGCGTTCCCATAAGCTTCGCAGCGCGTTACCGCTGCGAAGTCGTGACGTACGGCATGCTTTTTTCGAGAGAAGAACGGTCCACCGCTAAAGTCGCGAGAGAAAGTGAATAGTTGGAGTGATCCTCGACAGAGGTTTTGCTCACCGAGGCAGGCGGCGAGGTCAGAGGATTGTCGGACAGTCGAAAGTCCACCAGGCTCTTCATTTTCCTCATCTCGTTCGGAAGCACGGATATTCGGTTCCCGCTGATATCCAGCTTCACGAGTCTCAGGTACGTCAGTTCTGCGCAGAACTCGGTCGTTACTAGCGAATTTTATGAATCTACGTGTGCTAGTGGGACACGATGCTTTTTTTTTTTTGTAGAATTAATTTGATGGAAATAGGAAGGTACCTATAGGCAGGTGCACGAGCACGTTGCTCCTCAAGTCCAGGGACCTGAGTCGCGCAAGGTCGCCCATCCGAGGTGGCAGGCTCGTGATTTCGTTGCAGCCAGCGTCGAGCTCGGCCAGCGCCGACATTCTGCCCAATTCGTCGGGCAAAGATGCTAATCTATTGTGAGCGACCAGCAAAGTTTGCAGCGGTAGCCTGCATATCTCTCGAGGTAGAGACGTCAATTGGTTGCGGCTGCGAACAAAGTAAATCCAACTTGCTCGGTTCGAAATATCCGATGGTACGAAAGGGGTTAAAAGTAAAGTCTCCTTAAATGCGCTTTCACATTCTCTTCACAGAAACCATCCCCATCACTGGGTGGTATACCCCCTTGAGGACTATAATGAATGCTAAAAAGATTGTCCCTGATCGAGTGCTCGCCACGAAGAAATTATTGTCGCGAAGAAACTAGCCGAGTCTCGTTAATTCAACGCCCGCATCGTCACGGGAAGGATGTCTATAATTTTACAACGATTACAGACCTAAGATCGAGGTAGTTGAGGGACTGCAGCATCGCCACAGTTTCCGGTATGATTCGTATGGCATTGTGGTAGAGGTGAAGCTTCTCGAGAAACGGAAATTCCGTGACCTCTTCCGGTAATTCGGCGAAACGGTTCTTTGACAGATCTGGAACAGAAATAAGCCACTTGTATTACGCTGTACCGGAAAACATCAGTTATTTTAGTCACTTTTACTTCCTGTTATTTATAAACGTGTCTAAGACGCTTCTATACGAATTCCTCCCGCGTTTTTTTTATTATTATTATTATTATTATTATTATTATTTTGTTTCGTTTATTCGCGCTGTAGAATATTCAAACACGCATCTGTTATTTCAAAGCTTGTTTGAAATAAGTCGATATCTCAGATATTTCCAAACAAGTTTGCAGGGGTTAACTGAAGAGTTGTTTGAAATATTCATTTCTCATTTACATTTCAAAGAAAACTTGTTTCAGGTCTGCGGAGGGTAGCTGTCGTCGTGGGTATCTCGTAGGAAGGTGCCGTCTTGATTCGAGGTCCAAGGCAACTTCTTCGTTTCTGGGCTGTCGGCATAAACGTCGCGAGAAGGCAATAATACTTGTCGCCGTTAGGGAGGGGCGGATTAATTGGCGACATCGATAGTATTCCCGTAGCAACAGCTGTGCTCCGGTTAGGGTGGCCTTCGAGTTCGTTCGGGGGTTCTTATGAATGGGGTGCGACGGCCACGTGCGTGCACAGACTCGGAACCTAGGAAAAAGATAAGGGTGGCTCAGCTGCTCCCGGCCTCGGACCTCCTTTCTGATCAATAACCGCCGTCTGTGTGTTTCCGCGGAGCTGGTTTGGCGAACAGTTCGACTCCTCGTCTCCCTTTCGTGCCAACTTTTCTGCCTACCGATCGAACGCGCCACTCGAACACGACTTTGCCAGGAAAGTCATTTCGTGCCTAGTCGGACACGTTTTCTACCAAGGCGACCGGAGCCTTTGAAATCTTTCCTAAATGTTAAAGACTACGACGACGTGTCAAAATTTCATTAGGAGTTATGGGAACAGTAACAAACACAAAAGAGTTAAATGTGAATAGTAGCTGCCTTTCGAGTCGAGAAGATCGTAGATTTGAGATTGCTCTCATATTATTTTATTTCTTTTTTTTTTTCGAACGGAGTACGCGTTTCTACAAGTGTATAACCACTGGTGGGAGACGTTGATTCGTGGAAATTGGAAGGGCGTTCCCCGCCATCTCGGAAATTAGGTTCTAAGCAATCCAGTTGATCGGAACACGGGAAATTGGCAATCGATCGCCGACAGGATACTCGACTTTTCTCGAAGCGCGTTGTTCGCCAGCTTCCTGGCACGGGGACCAGCAGATTTCGTTAAATATATCGAGGAGCCAGTCAGCGTTTCCTCCCCCGTGCACGGTCGCGCTCGTGACGGGAACGAGACCATGGGGGTGGAAAGGCAAAGCGTGGAACCATCGGTACACGGTCGATCGCATAATCGCCCGAGCAAGGGCGTCGGCCCGTTCGTGTTCGCGCTATGGAGACGAGAATAGCAACCCCCTGTTCCGTTTCCGTGCCATCGTTCCCGTCCAATGGAAATTAAAAACATTTCCACTCGGGCATCATAGCCGACTCTGTGTCGTTTTCAAAGCGCCCTTTAAAAACACGCCTGCCGTTTATTGGAGTTTCGATACGAAACGCAGAGATCCGTGGATACTAGCCGTGACAAAAGTTCCCGAGCTCTCGACGAATACTGTCTTCCACTTCGCTAGTCGCGTTACATTCTCGACGACTCTTTCGACATCGAATTGCTCCGCTTAATCGACACCCAACTATTTAGTTTTCGGTAGGTGGTACAGGTCTGAATATATTGGAATAGTTGAAAACAAATAGCATGCGTACATTCCTTAAAAGATGGAAAGGTTGTTTACAGTCAGTGTAACAAGTATTCGTACAGGATCAATTTAAAATAAAACTTCATATATTTATTTTATTAATAAATTTTTGAGGAAGAAATAATTAACCAACATACCTACATATTTTTAGGATAGAATTTGCGTAAATTAAGGTTTATTATTTATTAACGTTAACCTCTTATTTCTTTTCTTATTGATTTTATTTTAGATCGGTTGCTGTACGAATACTGTTTACACTCACTGTTCAAACACGTGCCTTTGAATTTCTATTAAGAATTGGCACGGACTATCTGGACAACCCGATATATCAGCCTCATCATTAATTAATACTAATATCGTCTAAACACGCATCGAAGCAAATCTGTGCTCGATATCGAGATCTATGGCACGTAGCTCGACAGTATTACTCACGAGGGTAAAAACATGGTGGAACTTCCGGTGAACGGAGCTCGTCGTGGCCGCTACCAGCAAAAATCGTAGTCGAAGGGGGTTCGCGACCGCGGTATATACAGGGTGTCTCGCGAAAGGGTCGATGCACCGGATAATTCCAAGGACCAAGGTCGAGGTCCAGCCTAGGTGGATCGATACTATACGCTACATACGCGGAATCGCGCGACGTTGGACGAATTTCGTTATAGCGACATTTCATGGGTGCGTGGGCGTGGTTCCAGTCGTCCTTGTCTGGGCGTTTCGATAATCCACATAATTGCATGGGAGCCGTTCCAACGAGCCGTCGCATAGCGATGGAAATCCCAAAAAATTCACTAAAATGCCATTCTAGATATCTCCGCTTCAATTGTTCGAGGAAACGGTAGCCAAAAAAGTCAAGCTTTAAATTAAATTTATTCGAACGTACAAATCCTTCGACCTTTGTGTTTCAGAAGCTGTCCTAATTGTCTAATCTATTCCAAAAAAAAAAAGCTGTCTTCAACTGTCCTATACAACCTGGTTCTCAATGTTTTCAGGTTGAGAGACAGTCTTAATTAAAGCTAGAACAGCCGCTCATTAAAAAAACATAACGAGGCCCACTCGAAGAAGCTCGTAACGAAGACCGAATTTACAAACTTTCCATCGACTTAAATTGATTCTGTTGAAATTGCTTCGGTTACGTTACTCTTATTTAAACGGACAAATAAATTAGAAATGGAGGGGTTGGCTATTCGGGTCAACTTGGCGCGATTTCCAAGCACCGCGCTTAGGGACGTTGCTTGCGAACTAATAATGCAATACGTGTTGCATATTAGACCGCGGGAATCGACGTGTTTACATTATTACAGCGAGCACTTGGGCGCTTATGCACACGCAGGAGACAATAACGCCGGAAAGACGGTCCCATGGACGAGCGGAAAATGTCCCAGTGGTAATTTCCATGTTAATTTACGCGTCGAAGCGCCCGAGGACAACGGCCTCGTGGAACAACCACGTAGAATCTACGTAAAACGAACGAAAGGACGATAGATAGCAGGATACTCGATTTTCATTCAGCTCGCGATGGTTAACCGTAACGAGCTTAATTTTGCGGTCAATTCTGATGTTGTAACATGAAAACAATCGCGGTTCAATATTTATGTAAAAGTTCTTTGCCATGTACGACGGAATAAGAATTCATCGAGTCAGAGAGGAATCCAATCTCCCAAACGACGCCATAAACACCCTTGCACCACCACCTCGCCACTTTCCAGGCGATTCCTCCGTCACGGACCAAAAGTTCGAGATCGCGTCGTCGTTTATGCAAATTTACGAACTCGGCGCTCGCGTTCCCTGGGCGTGTCACGTCACGAAACGTCTAGCACAAAAGCGCAGGGTCGGCGACCTAACGCAAAAATCGTCTCTGGCGCTAACTCGAGGACGGAATGGTCGTCGAAGAAACGGATGGCGGTTTCCGCGATATCGTGGGGCCTTGAAACGCGACATCCACTTAGAGATTGCGATTGCGATTGCTACTTTGACGGAAGTAATGTAGGAGAAGCGATACGCTTGTGGCATAATACAGTAGCGATGGAGTTACGAATTAGCTACGTAACAAAATTCCTTCGGAAGTGCAGCACGCTCTGTCATAATTCTGTGATGATGACTAGACTGTGAAAATTTATGCGTTTATGACAAATGGAGGTATAGGGAAATCTACGAGAATATGCACAATTGCAGAAACATATAAAATATCGACGATAATATACACGTTACACCGTTTCGAATATAGGACAAATTTTTATTCAAACTTAACTTTTTTTTCCGTCTCTGTGACAATATGAATCCGCGTAGAGAAGTGACTGGCTGTCACTTTTGTAGGAATAATGAATGCCCAAGTTTCAATAGATTTGGCACAAGACGAGATATGAAAATCTGATGGGACGAATGAAGATAAAACGCAAGAGAAAATACTGTAACGACGTTAAGTTATCTTTCCCTGGATATGTAGGTATATATGGGGTTATAAGAGCCGGCATAAGGGCTGCCGTGAAACCGTGGAAACAGAGGGTCTGCCCGATCGATAGCGACCCCATAGCAAATATCGTCCAAGGGGTTGGCTCCACTGAGAGAGCGCAAGGTGTCCCATGGAGTACCGCACCCTCTTGGCGAATTCTCCTCGTGGAAAATAAAATCATTTGGGGCGAAACGAACGCCTTCCGAACTAATGATCGGTAACCGCGTTAGAACTCCGTTAACGAAGGATCCAAGTGTCCGGAACAGATTTAATTCTACTCCGAATGTACCGCTGAACGACCATAGAAGAATATCCCTAACTTTCGACCATCCAATTCCTCGCATCTCGTTTATTCGGTTTTCCACTTCTATCCGCAGCGTCTTAGAACTTTCCATTAACTAACTAATAAAGTAACTAGGCTCGAATATGAGTGGATACTTGGGACATAAATCTTATGTTGTAATAGTAATATATCAAATGCACGTCCGAAGTAACGTTAAACGAAACAACAACCGCCCGACTCGAGTGTCGCACAAAGAACGGAACATCGATCGATAAAACATCTTCGCTCGGTGAAACGGCCAGTAAATACTCTATTTGCGACATCTTCAATTAAAATTAATTCAAAGCAGCTCGATCTTATACCATCGTACCGCGTCAATCCTGACAGATGTAGCCGCGTTAGGCGAAACCTGAATCGCTACAATTCACAATATTTCCACGGCGCAAAGCGATGCTTTGAAACGTGAGAATTAGTTTTTTTTTTTTCTTCTTCCAAGCGTCGCGGCGCGTTACGCTCGTAATCGAGCA